ATCTAAGTTCATTGTCCGGAGTATTTGAAGCAGCAGCAGTATTTGCAGCTGCTGTGACTGTTGGAGTTAGGAGTGACACATTTGCAGGGGAGCTACAGCTCGATGTAGCTGTTGCCTTCACTCGACTGGCCTTCCACAAAGGCAGTCAGCCTCCTGAAATGCTGTAAAGTGTCTCTGTGCCAAAGGCTCATGTTGTTGCTGAATATGAGTCTTCATTATTAATGTGTCTACAACWTGGGAAGTGTTAATGGAGAGGTGTCTTGTAGTGAGAGCTGTGAAAGTGGAAGGAGCAGGAATGTGTAATGCAAGWAAATGTGTGTGTGTGTTTAGAATATGAGGGAGGAAAGATTTAAGGCTTGAGAAGTTAATGTTCCATCCCTTTTTGTRGAAGGTGGGATTAACGTTTCCGAAGTTTTTTTCCACTCCAATTGTTTCTCGAAGGGCAGGTTTGCAGTATCATTTAGGAATATCAGAAATCAGCTGAAAGGTAGAACTTCATGTGCATTTAATGTTTTAAAAAATGRTCTATCCATAGAGGCAAGCCAGGGGTTACAGGGCGCCATGGGTTCTCCATTGCCTAGAACTTTGGAAAGAGAAATATGTACAAATATATACAAATACTTTAATCAATACAGGCATGTTTCATCCCATATAGTCCTTTGGTCTGCTAGAAGKTATAAACAGAAAACCCCAAAACCAGACCAAACAAGACCATACAAACCCAACTGATCGGGATCCACAGAGCACCATGCACAAAGGTGCTGCTGCTTTACAAAAACACCAAATTTCTAAAAGTTGGCAAAGTTATTTGCATATATGTGAACGTGTTTCAAGTGACAGAATAAGATAGGATTTACCTTTTTCTTGTCTCYGAATATCTTGCCTAGTTCTTTGATGTGTTTCTTAAAAACCAATTAAAGTGTTTTATTCTCCTCTGAGTTAGATATATGCACACTGCACAGGAGCTTTCACTGTTAGTGATCAGTCTTAAATTCAAATGGAGATTATGTATATAGCTGCTGATAATTTAGGCTGAGGCTCTAATGTCATATTTCCATGTGGTTTGAATATCAGAATCAGCATGCATTTTGTTTGAGAATCAGTCATATGATAGAGAACTATGTGGGTACCATACATGGTTAAACTGACAGCCTAAATTATTAAAAACAGCTGCCTTTTGGATATATTTGATTTTTTTCCCTTCACATGATCTTATAAAGAAAAATAGCATTGTAAAAAACTGTTGCAGCTGTGAGTAAAAAACATCATCTCAGAATCTGGAGTTTTCATTTTTTGTCTCCCAGGACTGAAAAATGCTGCAAATCAGAGAAAGTGTGTCATTATTGATCAGCTATTAAGTAGATAGGGTTTTTTTCCTTATAGCAGCATTTTGATTTAGATGTCTGACTTGGCTTGACACAGCACTTTCCTGTTCATAATGTGTGTGTCTGGTCTGAATCCTGGTGTGTGCCAAGGGATTCCTGACCACAGAGTGCAGCYGCTGTGCTAAAGCAGCCATGGCAGCCATCATTCCCACCAGCACCATTTGTGCTTCCCAGAAAAGTTCCCTACATGCAAAATTGCAGATCCCCTTCCTTCAGTGACCTGATGCTTTTTAATGCACAGGGAATAYTGGGGAGCTTGTGTTGCAGGGGGCTGGGGCACTGGGTCCCTCTGTCCCTGAGTATTTTTGCCCTTACTTCCGTTGTCAGTCTGTCCCTCAAAACTGTTCCCTGCTACACTTTTGTTTTCAGTCTCCACTRTTTTTTTCTCTGATCTGTAAGGAGTGCTAAACCTCACTTGTAACTCCTTCCCCTGCTGCAGATTGCCAAATTGAATCCATTTGAACTACCTTCCTGCTCATATCTGCTTTCTGAAAGATTTTCATCACTGCCTGGATGGTGTATTCTTGAAATTCAGCCCAAGAAGCAGTTCTTCGTGTAGCATTTTGGGGATTATATATTAAAAAATGCATAAGCCATAAATCTCTTTCTGTGATTCACAACAGTGGCAGTGCATGTTTCCCTCTGAATCAATTGCAGATTTCATCAGTCCCACTTTATACCTGCCTCTGAATTTGTTTTAAGCCCTATTTCAGAAATTTATAAGGGCTATGATAATTTGTCATTTCTCTAATTTTATTGATMTCCAGAAGTGAAATCTAGCTTATTAAAAGTGCAAGTGTTTCATTAAAAAAAACACATTTGTTCCTGGTAGCTCAACAAAATTAGGGTCTCCTCTGAACCCCTACTCCGACTTCAAGCCTTTATACTCTGGTATATGTGACAAAAGCTTCAGAATTATTCCTGGGCAACATTTAAAAAACTGTTGAGAGATTAATCTCTCAAATCTTTGTCTTAGGCATGGGGGTGTAACTGCCTTAATGAATATTATAATGATATTTTCACCAAAAAAATAGCGATCTAAACCGCAAGTGTTAAAAATAGTCAAAAACTTGGGTAGGTGATCTTTCATAATGGCAAGTTCCCCCTTAAGATCTATCAGGTAAATGATGCACATATTTCAAGCTGTCGTAGGAGCTACTTTTACCAAGCAATTCAGTGGACATCTATTGGAAAAGGAGGAAAGGGAGAATATAAAATAAAAGGGTTGACACCACAGGTCCCAGACATTTTTTTTAATAAACTGTAGCAGTGAATTAAATATCTCTGAGTGTATTCTTACTTGAAGTTTTACAATAGTGCTTAGGATCAACCCTTGAGCTGTTTTCAGTTCCCACAGTTTTATATCCAGAGATTTGGAAGAAGGATTTCTACTGCCTGTGATAGGACCTTTGCCATTATTCAAATAAAAGAGTTTATTGGATCCTAAGGGCCAGGTCATCGTATTGATGTTGCTCAAATAACAGCAGAAATTGGTCTGAAAACCTATGGCTTTACTACTTTTGACCTGTATTTTTATGTATTATCCTCAGACATTTTTCCTGTTTTTTCATTTTTGTTTAGTATGAAAACAATTGAAACAAATTTTTGCTTAGAAAATTAAAACCTCCGTTGTTCCTGAGAAAGCTGCATTAACTTTTTTCAATATTCTAGAAGAGTTTGGCATGAAGACATTTTAGATAGATTGATCTAACTTACRTATCTTGATAGGAATTATATTAAGAAGCCAAATTACAGGATACATKGAGACATTTATGGCAGTGAAGCCCTGGGAGCTATGAGCATGGCTTTGGAAATTAAGCCTCGGAAATCGGTTGGGAATTCTCTGAAGGGCTTATTGAGCATTTGATCAAGGGAGATTCATGAATTTCCTATACTTGGATTTTTAGCAAGTTCTTCTTGAGGTCATTTGACAAAAACTCTCAAGGATGCAGAACTGTGCTGAATAAAAAGAAAATTTGTTTTATGAGTTTAAAAGCTGGTGAAAGGATAGGAATCAAATGCCACTTTCAAAATGGAGAAATTAATTTCTGAGTCCCACAGGGATCTGTGCTGGGACCTAAGTTATTAAGATGAGCTCATAAATTGGGAATGGAATGAGGGGGATGTGTTTGCTAATTAGCAGGGCTGTGAAAAAGCATGTGAAGAATTACAGGAAAAGATTTCAGTCTCAACAGTTGACTTGATGGCAAAGCAGCAGCTGAAAATCAATGCAGGTGAGCACAAAGTAATGCACATAGGAAGAAATGGTTCTAGGATAAGAATAAATAACAGGTAAGAATATGTCTAATTATCAGTGCTCAGGGAGGAAATCTTGGTGCCACTGTGGTCAGTTTGCTGAAAATTTCTGTACAGTAGTGCAAAAATATGGTAATTAAACTGAAACACTGAAATAAACCAGGAAACAGTGCCATTGTGTACCTTCCTTGGGTACCAGTGCCATTGTGTACCTTCCTTGGGTACCTGTTCCTTCCCCTTCAGCTGAAAGGGTGCTGAGAGAGATGGAAAATGTGCTCCAAGGGCTGGAATCACATTTGCACAAGGAATGAGTCGGAGTCTTCATCTGRGCAGGGAAACAGGACAGGGCCCTGTCCCACCACAGTGGTGCCACTCTTAGACATGGTGAAGGTGTACTCAGTGTTTGCTTTTAATCACAGTAGTAGAATTAAAAGCATCAGATGAAATGAAGTAAGGTATTTAAGACCCCAGAACAGCTTTTCACACAAGGCATAATTAAATTTTGGAATTCTTTGACATAAGAGATTGCAGGTGCCAAAGGTTTGCATATGTTCAAAAATCAATTACTCATAGGGGAAAAAAAATCCATGGATTCTTCTTAAGCACAAAGAAATCCTGAGCCACAGGGTAGGTGGGGGAGAGTTTAATAAGAGAATCACTCCACATACTTTTTCTTATTAKTTCATTAAGAATCCCCTACTAGTTATATAAAATGTTACAGATGGACTCTTAGTCTGAAGCCATATGTCCATGTTAAAGGMAACAGAATTATACAGTTTATGTCTTGGATTTGACCAAAAAAGTCTGAGCTGAACTCTGTATTTTTCTTTTATGTAACACATCAATGATCCCAAGAGACAGTGAATGTGTTAAGTGTTTATACAGAGTTAGAACAGATAAAATTAGCATGCTTTAAAAAAATAATTTGTATGTTCAAAATGGTATAAATTTTGGAAATAAGAAAATATTCTTCCCTGAATCGATCTTATTCTGTTTTGAAAGCAGTTCTCTGGGCTTACTTTATTTTGTTGATGAACTCAWAAATAGGCTACAAAAAATAGGTATGTAGTTTCTGGAAGCTGTGTTTCCTTTCCTGTGGGGAACAGCTACTTCCCATTTTCTTTTCTTTTGATAGTGTACTAATACTAATACATGGCCATTTCATCTGTGATGTGTCAGAAAACTGTGCACAGTAAAAATATGAATGTTTCCAAGGATCATTTTTGTTCATGTGTATTTTAAGATAAAATCAACAATTTCAATTTAACCTTTTCTTCTAAAGAGAGTTAAATGATTTTGCTTGAAAATTYCTCACGGATATCCTGGCTCACCTCTGTGCTGTTTTTATTCCTGATGCAGTGGCACTCAGCTGGTGACATCGAGTGGGGACACCACGGTGCGGATCTGGGACCTGTCCAGGCGTGGCTGCATCCTGACCCTGCGGGGCCATTCCCGTGCTGTCCACGACTGCTCCTGGCACACCTGCGGGGAGTTCGTGGCCTCTGCCTCCATGGATGGCACCAGCAAAATCTGGGATGTGAACAGGTATGGAGGCTGTGTGCTTGCTAATTGATACCTTCATTAATAACCAGRGCKTKTGTTGTAGCTCCACATCAATTYGTGGGGTTCACTCGGAGAACACGGGAAAATTAAAGGGAGTCCTGGATTCACCAGATAAAGGCTTTATTAAACAGGGAGCTGGGAAGGACCTAAATTAGTGCCAAATTGAAAATATTTGCTTTCACTTGGCATCTCTTATTCTTCATTGCTGGAGGTTTTTTTTTTAAGGTAAGAACTTTGTGGAACTTCAATATGTAATTTAAATAAATAACTGAATAAAACTTTCTGTAAGTTTTCCATATACTGTTTTGAGCTCATAAGTACACAACACACTTTAAAGTTAGCCAAGTGGAAATTTATTTTAGTCATTATCTGTGTTTCAGCAAGGTGACTCCTGATTAATAAATCAACGTATACSTTCTTTATTATCCAGGCAAATGCATTTTTATGAAGGTGCTTTTAGAATATCAGTGTTATTTGTGCTTACCAATTAATTATTAGTTCCTTAACTCGCTGCAGTTGTCTTCAGTTTTGATTAACTTACACCTTAAAGAAATGGAATGGACTTACCTCTTTCCAAACTATCTCATCTAGACTCTTGAATTACTGTACTGTACTAGGTCTGATTTTTAACAACTGAATGTCATCACTCCACAGAGAAGTTTCCAGTCTTATAGGCCTTTTCCCAGGTTCTTTATTATTCTGTCCTAATGGATTTTTCCATTTCCTATCAGTCTTTTTCTTCCTTTGCATTTGAATGAGGTGAAATACCCCTTTAAGCTTGTTGGCCACTGCAGGGGAAGAYGCTTCACTGAAAAAGCAAGGCAAAATTCCTTCTTTTCTTTCTTTTCCTAAATCCCTCCCAGTCTTGTGCAATTGCAGTGAGTCTTGAATGGAGACTTTTCAAGCTGTTGTAATTCATCCGGATTTCTTTGAGAGTTAATTAGAACTCCATCAGTATCAGATTTCCAGTCTTCCCTTCCAATCGTGAATTGAGGAAGCTTTAAATWATATTAAAAATACTGTTTTCAAAATGGGATAACCCATCTATCCTTTCATGAATTATTCCAAATTGTTTTGGCTAAAAAAAAAAAAAAAAAGTTATGGTTTGGCAAAGTTCAAGCCAGCTGAGAAGTGGGTTTTATAACAGAAATTGTCAGCCAGCTCTGAGAACAGAATGGTGCTTCTACAATTACTATCAGTAATGAGAATTAATGGTCAGTGTTTTCCTTAGGAATGGAAACAGGAGAAATCCAATGTATTGTTGCCTCTTTTCTTAACCTCTTGTAGGATTTTAATGCTTTGATCATCCTTTATGGCATATTCATGACCTTTAAGAAATAATACTAAGAATAGCTTTAATTTTATGTCAGAATGGGTTTGAATTTGCATAGACAAAGGTTCTGTTTAGACATTTGAAAATGCCTTTTCTACCGAGGAAGCTTTTGTAGTCAGAAGAATCAAAGCAAATCTTCACCACCAACCCATGGTGCCTCCCACTCACACTCATCACCAACTCCCATTTCTGCCTCCAGTCTATCCGAGCTGTGCTTTGCCTGTGAAAATAATAGAGTAACATCAGAGCCATGATGTGAAAGGCTGACTGTCAGTGTGGAATTATTGGAACCTGAAGTTATGCAAAATCTCAGTGGCTAAAAGCAGCAGGAAGTACAGAAAAATGTGGCATAGTCTGATTGAAATAGTATTCAGAGTATGAAAAAAGAAGGCCCAGTGCTTCACTGCTGCATTTTCAATGTGCTCCCAGTAAAAGCCCATGGCTGGGTGATGTTAGACCTCAKCCCAAACACCAGGTGAGTTCTGCTGTGGTGCATCAGGTGAGTTTGTAGAGCTTTGTGTGGTGTAGGCACCTGGTGAGAAATGAGGACAGTGCACAAATGACACACTCTTGAAGAGCTTCTCTAAAAGGGCCTTGATGACAAGATGTGGCTGTTTGAAGCCTAAGCCATCCTGGTTCTGCAGAACAGCCCTCTGCACTTGGGCCTCATGCCCATGTTGGCTCATTCAAGTGAAAAATCAGCCTGTGCAGGATGTACAGCAAGATCTGGAAATACGGGGAAGCAGCGGACAGATTAATGGGGTTGGTGCTTTCCACTGGATTGTTAAATTGCTGCTGTTACATTTGGAGCTGCTCTACAAAAGAGCCTGCAGTGAGTCTGGGCTCAGCAGTGCTGGTTGCTGAGCTGCCTGGCTGAATTTGCAGCACCAATGCCAGCTGTTCCCAGGGTGTCCCCTGGAAATGTGCCACGAGCCTGGAGTCCTTGGGTGCAAACACAGCCAGATGTGTGGGCACCACAGGAATGGGTGCCCTCCTTCAGCCTCCCTGGCAGCCTGGGGCTGTGCCACAATAGGAACATGGAGCAGGCTTTCCATGGTTTATGATGCTTGGAAAGATCTTTTTCTTCACATCCCTGCAGAACAGGTGCTCATCCAGGTGCCATCGTCAGCATTCTCCCTCTCCAGGTGCCACAAACTGAGCCCAAGATAACACCCTTGGGGCAGGGTAATAATCAGTGATCACAGTTAATCTAGTGGTTTTATTCTTTCCACTAACAAGGAATTAGTATTTTATAAATGAGAGCTGTCTTTCTTCCTTAATATTATATATTTGGATGGATGCCTGCTTTCAGATTGAATGAGCCTGGAAAGCAGCAGATTGTAGGGGGAGAAAAGCAAGATGGATATCAAAGCTATCACTGCCACCTCTCTGAAAGAGATCTGTTGTAAATAAATGCTACAAATAAAAATACATCCATTTCTGTATGAGTGACAGTGATCATTTTATTTCCAGGCTTCAAAAGGCCACTTTTATGTATTAGAAACATACTTTTCTATAAATGTTGCTTTTGAAAAATATACATCATTCCTTGTAGTTGTAAACTTGCTATCAAGAACCCAGGGAGGCTATTTGCTGTCTTTGAGCACCAAAATCCAAGGTGTAATTTGCACAATCATGAAATCCATTATTGGATTCCGAAGAATACAGGATGCAAWATCTTGAATAGGACAATGTTGACAGCAGTTTAAATAAATTACATAATTCTTTGCCAATGATGAGAAAAGTCTGCCTACTACATACTGAATTTTGTTTTAGTGGAAAGTGAAATTATTGCTGGGTCTCTTGCTTGGGGCTATTATTATTATTATTATTATTATTATTATTATTATTATTATTATTATTATTATTCACAAATTGTTTTCCTTTGTGTATACTGAAAGCTTCAATCATATATCAGGCCACAAATTACATTTCTTCATATCTGCTGTCTTCAAAGTTATCCCAACTACTTAATGATAATGGAGACATGAAGTTGGAGAAGAAAGGGAGAAGTTTATAATTTGTGACCAGGGTTTTACTCAGCAGCACAGCTCAGGTTGAAAATACGCAGCCASTTATGTTCTAGCTCAGCAGGCACTTGCAGGGGTGTTTTCTCAGACCGTAAATTCAACACTGTCAAAGTCATTTTGGCAGGATTAATTTTAATTATCCAGTGGTAAATATCATCAGAGATTTACAGCCTGATCTCTGATATGCAAATCAAACTCAGCATCATATATCTCATGTAAACACAGGCGGTTGTTTAGCTTTGCAAACATATGCTCTACACTGAATGTTAAATGCAAACATTGTTATTTATGCTTTGAGCTTGAGAAATTGCAGCAAAGTCAGAACAGTCAGAACTGGTTTTCTCCAGTTGATCCATTCTACACTCATTATACCAGTTCTCCATTTTTCTCTGYTTTCTTTCAGTAGTACAAATTATAGGGAATTAGGCCCATCTGAGAAATAAGAAATGTGATTGTGGTGTCCCACAGCAGAGCCCAGGGTGAGGAAGTGTTTGTGAATTTGAGCCATTTCTGATTGCTGTTCCCTCATCCATCACTCATTTGTTTTCTATTAACCCAGTAATTTTTGTCTRCTCCCAGAAATTTCTCTCATAATCAAATTTTATTTAAAAATTCTAAAATGTGTATTTACCTCAATCTCCAGTTGTTTCTAGCATCCATTGATGCATTTGTTCACGTGCAAATTTTAGAAGAAACTCATCTGTCATGATCACTGTTAATTCTCTGTACAACYTCTAAGATGTTGTCTTGCTATTAAATGTTAATATATTCTTTATTTATTCCCAAATACAAAAAAAAAAAAATCGTTTACACCTTTTACTTCTCTTCAACATCACTGGATGTTTTCACTTTGCCCAAGTCTCAAATGCATATGACATTAATTTCTAGTTTATATAGTAATTCCTTCTTTTGCTCTTAAGCCCCTATTAAAATTCTTATCTCTTGTTGTGGCCTGATAACTTCTGTTTATAGTYATGTTTCTCCTCATAAGAAGCATTTAATTTGAGAAAATTTAGAGTTAGTATTTAAAGAAATCAAGTAGGGGTGGGTTTTATTTCATTAGAAGCCCCTCCTCAGCTACAGCTTTCCATGGAATGATACCATGCAGCAACAGCACTGCATGTGTTTTGTCAATACACATCTTGAGTGTGTGTAGTGCGAAACATGATAAAGGTGATGTTAAACTGCTGTTATAGTTTGTGGTGGGTTTTTTTTTTTTTTTTTTTGTCTAGTAAAGTAATAATTCTCTAAAGTAATAGTTTCATGTTGCTGGAATTGCCAAGTGGACTGCTCAAACTCTTTGCTTTGTACCATCAAAGCAATGTGAAAAGGCCCAGGGTTTAGCCTGGCTTCTCCTGCCATCCTTGACATTCATTCTSTGTTTCTTTTTCTTCCTTTTCTCTTTAGGCAATGGACAGCTTTGAAATGCAATATTGACTCTCAGATTTGTAGTGATTTTTCCCCACACCAAATGCATCCATAACAGGATCCTGTAAAATCTCCTCTGAAGGAACTCTCAAAGATTTTCTAGTTCTAAAATGGAGCTATGTTTTCACATTTGGAATCAGGATGAGGGTGTGTAGGCARTCCTTGTCCAAATACCCCATTTGAGGTGGCAC